GGGTCTTTCCTGGATAGGATTGTTCCAGCCTGGCAGAGGGCACATTGCCCTCTCAGGGAACTACTGTACTGCTGTGCGGCCTCAGGTGGGCACCCTGAGGGCCTGAATCCTGAGATCCGGATTCTATCAAAGCTGACCGAGGAGCCCGTCTACTGAAGATCTGTTCCAGTCCTTTGATATGTTCTTCTGCCGGTTATCGTTGGGGTCTGGAGAAAGGCAACCAGCTGCTCTTGGGCCTTGTAAGTACAGACATCCCTAAAGGATCTTAAAGACTGTGTGCTACTCAACCCCCTCTGGTGATTGGGAGTCAGCTTCGGGTCTAGGCTAAAGGGGACACCGGTTGGTGTTCAGAAGAGCTTTGTCCACTTAATTTTCTACTAAAGGATTTGGCTCAAGTTACTACTACCTTTATTACTACTGCCTTAAAGCTGAAGTCTACTGTTTGTGTCATAGCTTATCCAATAGAATATTTAAAGTGTTACAAAACCCACAACAGTAAAATCAGTCTGTATATGCAGTAAAGCATGCTTGTTCACGGTGGAACCTAAGAGGCTAACCCTCTGCATTGTGTAAAAAGGCCATTTGATCTTGTTTTCTCTGCCCCTCCTCTTGTTCAAATGTCCACCTGTTAAGACAGACTGAACCCGTAGCCACATGCACATGCTCAGTTTAGTGTGCATTGCTAGAGAGTTTTTTTTTTTTTTACTTGGGAGAGTGCATGTGATCAGCACGGGCCAATCAGCACTGTCCAGATAGAAGTCAGGGGTCCTGCATCCTCCTAGAGCAGAAAGAAAACCCCTCCTACAAGCTTTAACCAGTACTCTGCTGAAATCACAAGACTGCTCTAACTGCTGATGAGAAAAGGTATTTAGCAGTTTATATTTACTAAAATAATTGCATTTCCATGTTGTGTGTACTGTGGGAGACCAGATATAGTGAATGCAGGGTCCTGGGTTTAGTTACACTTTAAAGTCAGTGTAACTGTCTGTCTGTCTGACTGTCATCTCCTAAATCGATTATTTTCTGTTAATTAAACATTTTTAAATAAGTGCGTCCTGTAAAAAAAATATATATATATATATATATATATATACATACAAAGATTGAAATTTATTACAAAACAAGGGTTTTCATGAAACTGTAAAAAAGACAATAGCAAATTTTATTTGTTTTTGGACAGTTTTATATTTTTCAAACTTACAAGTACATTTTTATATAAAATCTGTTCTTTACAAAAAAACTAAATAATAATACTACTAGTAATAGTTCAGGATGCATTAATAAGATTCGGCTTAGCTCAGTGCTGCCTGCATGCTTGTTGGTATTCTCTGTAGCCAAACTGCCCCACCTCTGCTAGATGGGAGGGTTTTTTGTGCAATGGAAAGTCTCTTCCTATTCAGATCTGTTTTCTGAACACCAAAAAGCTAGTTCTTTTGTTTACAGCTTCCCCTGCTGGTTGCAAAGGGTAAACATGAAATCCTGATATTTAATATGTCATGCTTATCTGATTGAACACGTTTTATTTGTTTATTATTGTATAAAGTAAAAAAAAATAAAAAGGAGATATATACAAAATAGATTCCCTTTGAAATGAGTCTTGCTGAGTATATCCTTGCATAAGGTGCATAATTTGGTAAATTATGTACATAATTTACAAAACCCCTGCAGTTGTAATGATTTAACACCTGGGGTAAATCAATTGATATGTTATTTAAATGCAGCTCTAGGTGAGCTTTAAATCAGATCAGGAATAAAAAAAAAAAAAAAAAAGTAATTCTTACTGTAAATTACAGCCAAACTTGAAGGCAACCTATGCGATTACAAAACCACCCAACAAGAAATTTAAAAAATAATAAAAGAGAAAAAAAAACAATAGGGTATACACAATGCACATGACTCCCAACTGTGAAAAAATACACTTCTATAAATCCAATCATATGTGTATACCTCCCATTGTATTTAAGTAATACTTGTAATATTCATGTTTATCCACTAGGTGGTAGTCTTGCAATACAGTACACTTTGGCATTAGTTTGCTTTGTTCGATCAACTTTTTTTTCAGTAAAGAATTTTCAATTTTAAAAGATTATAATATAATATGGTCAAGTATATTCTATTTTGTATAGCGGTGCATAGAACGACTTTAAAACAAACCAATCATAGTAAAAGCACGCCCGTGTGCAAATGCTTCATTCATTATTGAGTCTGTCTGTGAAGGTTCTAATTCACGGGTGTCAAATAGGTGGCCCTCCAGCTGTTGCCAAACTACAAGCCCCATGAGGCATTGCAAGACTGACAGTTACAAGCATGGCTCCCAAAGGCAGAGGCATGATGGGATTTGTAGTTTTGCAACAGCTGGAGGGCCGCCAGTTTGTAACTAACTACAACTAGATATACCCTGAGCTGGATAAATTAGAACAGGGGTGTCATTCAGCTAGTGATTGGATCAAGGTGTTGGTGCTACCTGTCTGGATATGGAATGCTGGGGTATTATTCTGACACCCATTAGAACTGAAGCAGTGGCTTGGATAACCTTCAAAATGTCTTCAATATTACAGAACAAGTTCAGCTAAATGTGACTTCCTTCTAGTAGATGGTATTGAGTCTGTTTTACTGAATTTTGACTTCTCCTAGCAAGCACACCTTCTCTGATGGGTCCTGGTCACTAAAGGCTAACAGATCGCTTATAAACACCTAACAATAATTGAAATGTTCTAATTCTAACCAACTGCATGGCTAAAATAAAGGATCTTGGAGATCCATCATCTCCACTGTTCCAAATCCCTATGTGATCTAATGTGCAAAAGTCAATACTCCAACCTTTGTATTGGCCTAGGGCTTTGTATCTATAGGATGGCTTGCTTTGTTGACCAATAGCAAGGGGTAACAAACGTTACAAGACCAGGAAAAGAAGGAAATCTCAGCAACCTAGTCAGAGACAGATATATGTAAAAAATAAATAAATAAATAAAAATTCACAGAGGTTCTAACCTTCTCCAATCTGTATAAAAATTAAAATTGTTTTCTGGCAAGAGTAACATCCTACAGTATTAAAAATAATCTGGTGCAATATGGCCGGAAACAGAGACATTAACTGGAAACATGGCAGCTTTCTATGTGCTTCCATTTTGTGAGGACCAAAGGTTGGGGAGAACCTGGGAACCTTGCAATGGCCTTTACATCTCCTTATCTGCGCCATCGTTCCCCAGCAATCCAACCACCCCAGTTTCCAGACATCCCTCCTTATCCAATTTTCCCCCCCTCCCCAAAAGACATCCCTCCCTAGCTGCCTTATATTCCTGCTGACAGACGTCTCTTCCTGGACACCCCAACACCCTGTGTTCCACATCCCTTGTTGGACCACTGCACCCTACCATGGACACTTTTCCCCAGCCATCTGATTCCCCTTCCCTTCCCAAAAGACATCCTCCCCTGCTGCCTCATGTCCCTGGACACCCCAGCTACCTTTGTGCAACATGCCTCCTTGGACCTCCTCAACACCCCCCCCCAACACACTTTTCCCTAGCCATCTCATTCCCCTTCCCTTCCCAAAAGACATACCTTCCCTGCTGCCTCATGTTTCTGTACACCCCAACTACCTTTGTGCAGCATGCCTACTTGGACTTCCTCAACCCCCCCAACACACTTTTTCCCTAGCTATCTCATTCCCCTTCCCAAAAGACATCCCTCCCCTGCTGCTCATGTCCATGGTGGACACCCCAACTATCTTTGTGCAACATGCCTCCTTGGACCTCCTCAACACCCCCCTCCCCAACACACTTTTCCTTAGCCATCTCATTCTCCTTCCCTTCCCTTCCCAAAAGACATGCCTTCCCTGCTGCCTCATGTTTCTGTACACCCCAACTACCTTTGTGCAGCATGCCTACTTGGACTTCCTCAACCCCCCCAACACACTTTTTCCTAGCTATCTCATTCCCCTTCCCAAAAGACATCCCTCCCTGCTGCCTCATGTCCATGGACACCCCAACTATCTTTGTGCAACATGCCTCCTTGGACCTCCTCAACACCCCCCCCCCCAACACACTTTTCCTTAGCCATCTCATTCTCCTTCCCTTCCCTTCCCAAAAGACATGCCTTCCCTGCTGCCTCATGTTTCTGTACACCCCAACTACCTTTGTGCAACATGCCTCCTTGGACCTCCTCAACCCCCCCACTAAAACACACTTTTCCCTAGCCATCTCCCCCCAACTCACAACCACTGCAGATAGACCAGAGGAAGGGAACTAATGGAGAAAAGCATAATGACAGTGTCTGCAGTGCTGCAGATTGACCAGGGGAAGGGCAGGGGAGCCACCAAAGAAGATGCCACCCAACCTTCCTGCTCTAAACACTAAGAAGTATACAGCGGTTTCATCCATCCTGCTAATATTCCACAGTCCCCACCTTCCATACACCAGAAATGTTCCTATTGTTACTAGAGATGGCCCCACACCTTCAGTACACTGGATTTTACAGCAAATTGTAGAATTTTGCATTAACAAATGTTTTTTTTTTCAAAATTTATAACAACCTGCCCATTATACCCTCCAAGCACTTCTTCACAAACTGCCCCGTCAATCGCACACTCCTCTCCTGCATATACTGCCCCACTGCTTGCCTCTTCTGTACATACTGCCCACTGCCATATCTCCACACTCCTCTCCTGTACATACTGCCCACTACCGTATCTCCACACTCCTCTCTGTACATACTGCCCACTACCGTATCTCCACACTCCTCTCCTGTACATACTGCCCACTACCGTATCTCCACACACTCCTCTCTCCTGTACATACTGCCCACTATCGTATCTCCACACTCTCTCCTGTACATACTGCCCACTACCGTATCTCCACACTCCTCTCCTGTACATACTGCCCACTATCGTATCTCCACACTCCTCTCCTGTACATACTGTCCACTGTCATACCCTCCACACTCCTCTCCTGTACATACTGTCCACTATTGTATCTCCACACTCCTCTCCTGTACATACTGTCCACTGTCATACCTTGCACACTCCTCTCCTGTGCATACTGCCCACGGTCATATCTCCACACTCCTCTGCTGTACATACTGTCCACTATCATACCCTCCACACTCCTCTCCTGTACATACTGCCCACTATCATACCCTCCACACTCCTCTCCTGTACATACTGCCCACTATCATACCCTCCACACTCCTCTCCTGTACATACTGGCCACTGCCATATCTCCACACTTCTCTCCTGTACATACTGCCCACTGCCATACTCTCCACACTCCTCTCCTGTACATACTGCCCACTGCCATACTCTCCACACTCCTCCTCCTGTACATACTGCCCACTGTCATATCCTCCACACTCCTCTCCTGTACATACTGTCCACTGTCATATCTCCACACTCCTCTCCTGTACATACTGTCCACTGTCATATCTCTACACTCCTCTCCTCTACATACTGCCCACTGTCATATCCACCACACTCCTCTCCTGTACGTACTGTCCACTGTCATATCCTCCACACTCCTCTCCTGTACGTACTGTCCACTGTCATATCCACCACACTCCTCTCCTGTATGTACTTTTCACTGTCATATCCACCACACTCCTCTCCTGTACGCACTGTCCACTGTCATATCCTCCACACTCCTCTCCTGTACGTACTGTCCACTGTCATATCCACCACACTCCTCTCCTGTACTGTACTGTCCACTGTCATATCCACCACACTCCTCTCCTGTACGTACTGTCCACTGTCATATCTCCACACTCCTCTCCTATACATACTGCCCACTGTCCTATCTCCACACTCCTCTTTCATACTGTCCACTGTCATATCCACCACACTCCTCTCCTGTACGTACTGTCCACTGTCATATCTCCACACTCCTCTCCTATACATACTGTCCACTGTCATATCTCCACACTCCTCTCCTATACATACTGTCCACTGTCATATCTCCACACTCCTCTCCTACACACTGCCCACTGTCATCCTCCACACTCTTCTCCTGTAAGTACTGTCCACTGTCATATCTCCACACTACCCTCCTGTACATACTGTCCACTGTCATATCCTCCACACTCCTCTCCTGTACATACTGCCCACTGTCATACCCTCCACACTCCTCTCCTGTACATACTGCCCACTGTCATATCTCCACACTCCTCTCCTATACATACTGTCCACTGTCATATCTCCACACTCCTCTCCTATACATACTGTCCACTGTCATATCTCCACACTCCTCTCCTCTACATACTGCCCACTGTCATATCCTCCACACTCTTCTCCTGTAAGTACTGTCCACTGTCATATCTCCACACTACCCTCCTGTACATACTGCCCACTGTCATATCCCCACACTCCTCTCCTGTAAGTACTGTCCACTGTCATATCTCCACACTCCTCTCCTGTACATACTGCCTACTTTCACACCTTCTATGCTCCCTTCTGCCCATATTTTCCACTTTTTTACCTCCACCCTCCTCTCCTCCTGCACCTACTGCGGGCCATAATACCCTCCCCACTCCATAAGGATTTAAACCACTCACCTGGTCATCCCATAGTCTCAGCCATGGAGAGCATTACCACCAGCTATTCGTTATACACCGATAGCTTCCTCCAACCTCTGGCACAGTCACTCCCCTCTTCTATCCGTGATGGTGTACATTTACTCGAAGTCCTAAACGCTTATTCCTGGGAACAATCCTGCATCTGGGTCTCACTTGAGGTGTGCTCTTTGTACACCTCCATCCCCCATGAAGTAGGACTAGAGGCTGTCCTGCATTTCCTATCCTCAGACAAAAGACGGGTACAGCTATGGGAGCGAATTTCACACAGAGTTATGCTAACCTAACCATGGGTCTGTGGGAAGACCGTTTTATTTGGAACAATAACCCTTTTGCTGCCCACCTAGTGTTCTATGGTTGCTACATAGATGACATCATCATCATTTGGGATAGTCCCACCACATCTCTCCTACCCTTCATCCACCACTGCAATATCAATCCATTTAGTCTCTCCTTCACCCACGTCACGGATCCCACATCACTCAGTTTTTTAGATTTGGAACTGAGCCATTCAGATTCCAGGATTATAGGCAAGAATTATACTAAACCCACAGCTGGCAACTCTTTCCTCCACTACACTATCTGCCACCACCCCAGGTGGCTAAACAATATACCAAAAGGACAATTCTGCAGGCTCCGACACAATTGCACCCCATCGAAGGATTACAAGGCCCAAAGCACAAAACTCAACAAAAATTTGCCAATAAAGGATACCCCCCTGACCTAGTGGATCAAGCTTACCAAACATACCTATCTGAAACTATCCCTCCACCCAAATCACGTCAATCTGAACCCAATCATATTCGATTCATCACCCAGTACCATTCCAACACTTTCAAATGGAAACCATTATCAAACACTGGCCAATCTTACATCAAGACCCACACCTAAAATCGGTTATGCCACCTACCCCAACATTTGTGTACAGAAGAGCTGCCAATATCAAAAACAAAATTGCGCCTAGTAAGATCCCTCCCCTTAGCTCTCCCAACACCACTAACAGACTTGTCCTAATCCCACTTATAGGGATGTATCGGTGTAAGAAGCCACTCTGCCTCACCTCTGCCCACATACAACATGGCCAATGTAATTTTAGAGCCAATGGCAAAACGTACTTCATTGAAGCTTTTTACAACTGTTCATCCACCTATGTTGTATACTGCCTGTCCTGCCCCTGCGGCCTACTGTATGTGGAACTAGAACCCTGCGCAAAAGATTTGGGGAACACCGCAGGCTAGTGAATGAAGGTATCATGAAACACAGTGTAGCACGCCATTTTTTATAATTCAATTCAAACTCCTCCGCAAACTTGAACGTATGGGCCATTGAAGCCATACCCGACCACCTCTCCCAAGCTGAACGCTTCAAAAAACTGTGCCAACAGGAAACATACTGGATTTTTACTTGATACCCTCACTCCTAGGGGTTTAAATGAGGAAAATTGAAATGCACACCATCATCTAACACCACACCTTCCATTCTCTCCTTTCCCTACATACACTGGTTGGTCACGCAGTCCTACCACACCCAGATTACCACCCCCCCCCCCCTTTATTTGATCCATTACCCCTCTTTGATTGTGTTATATATTGCCAAGTTCTGATCTAAGATATATTTCAGGTATTTATTTACTCATAAATCTAGTGTGGATTATTATGTTCCCCCTCTCCACACCATCCAGGTGCATTTTGGCTTTTCATCTCAATTTCCCACCAGGGTGGGACTGGGATCTAACGTATTCACTCTAACGTCATAGTGGGTGAGTAGTTCATTCCCAGACCATCCCCCCCTTCTGTTGCTCTTAAAATTAGGGGTCTGCGCACATTGCCAACAACCTTGCGCTGATTAGCATTTTCGACCCTATGTGTGCTACAATTTACTATATATATATATTTTTATTTTTATTTTTCAACACTCTTGTATTATATTTTCCATTATTCATGTATAATCCCTACTTATTCCCACCCATTGATTTCTCACGTGTGCCCTGTGTATTTATATGCTAGTTGTATTTTGTCTAGTCGCAAATCACGGCCATGCGTTTATTATTAATGCATTTATTATTGTTTTTTACTTAATGTTTTTATCATACACAATTGTATTCTCACGTGTGTGTATATACATATACATGCTTATACTCTATATCCCACTATTTATTAATTATTTATTTACAAAATGCACATACGGTATATATTTTTTCCACTTTTTTTTATATATATTTCCATATTTTTTCCTTTATTTTTCCTCATACTTCTAAATTATCATACTATTATTTCTTAATTCAATTTATTCTATTCTATTTACTCAATTTTTTATGTATATCTATATATGCGCATATATCTAGTATGTAATTTAAATATATGCAATTTTCTTTCTATACCGATAATTGCCAGTACTCAGACCCTGCATCTCTTCCCCCTCTGTTCCTCATATCGCAGCATTCACCATTTATCCACATTGCCCGTGTGTTTTGTTATTCATATTCCCCATTCCTCATTTTTTCCGTTGCTGTAACTATGTACCAGGGGCGGACTGACAACTCATGGGGCCCCCGGGCAATAGGGGATCATGGGGCCCCTGTGTCCCTGCCTACACCCAAAGCACACCCAAAAAAGCCTATAAAAAGGTACCAGGGGCATTTCATGGGGCCCCGTACTGACCCCGGGCCCTCGGGCAGTGCCCAGTGCTCGAATGGTCAGTCTGCCCCTGCTATGTACGTGTTTACCCCTGGTTTCTTGTTACTGACCCGCCCATACAGCCGCTCCCCGCCCCCTCCGTCCCCTATTTAAAAGGCCTACCCCAGTGGCCAATTAGGTCTGATGAAGAAGTGCATTGCTTTGAAACGCGTCACTGCCCCCTTCCTGCAGCTCCACGGTCCGTCCTGACGTCACTTCCGCTCGGTGGCCATCTTTTGCGTTCCAGGCTGGTTTCCACTGACGTGACACAGCCCATGCCGATTGGAGAGGTGCTACACTAACCAGGAGACCCGGCTCTCACATGCAACGTGGCCCCCTGGATATCCACCTGCCCTCCCCGCTCCTCCCATGAGATCGGTGATGGAGATCTGGTCATCATGCTAGCTGTGGCCCCTGGAACCCATCCAGTCCATCCATCCTGCCTTTGGTATTACACCCGGATGACATCTTTCTCTTATATTGATGCCTGAAAACTCCCTACCTCCTGTGAGTTACACAGAATTGTGTGCAATAAATTGTTATAAAAAGAATTTCAGCGAGCACTACAAAGACAAGAACAGCTGCTGGGACACCAAAAAGTCAACCATAAACCTCCCAATATAAATGTCAATATAAACATGTGCAGCGCTAATATCTGAATATAAATAATATATAGAATAGCTAAAGCATGAAAAATTAATTATGGCGGAATACATAAAAACAAGATACATATAAAGTGCAGAATAATCATAACCACATGGTGGTGGTAGTGGTGGTAAAACAGTCCAAAACAATTGAACGTGAGGATCTCGTCAGATCACAACCAAAGTGCTTGGATTTCTTATCCAGGGGTGACAGATGATGTGACTTAATAAGTGAAAGGCGTACTCACCAGAAGTGTGCTAAAAACACGCATTTGAGATTACTACTGTCTCATCAGGTATATTCAGGTCATCTGCTCCAAGCTCAGGCCAGGTTCTTATTTCCTTCTGGGTCCCTTGACAGGTATCACAGAGTCGGGTCACCTCTATAATAGGCTCTGTGAATGATGGCACTCACAGAGAGAGCCCAACAAAGGAGACCACATAGCGTGATACTGTTTTTAAATGGAGTTTATTTCCACAAAGCAAGGTATAAATAAAAAGAAATGATAACTGACCATATAGTATTCAGGATGGCCACCAGCGGTGGCGTGACGTCTGGATGCTGTAGCCGCTGACGCGTTTCGTGCACAGCACTTAATCATAGGGTGCGGGCTTACCTATTGGTTTTAAATTATTGGTTTTATACTAC